ATATATTGATATTATATATACTAGTACTATTATTATCATCATTATAAAATGTATTTAATTTTTATTATTGTCGTTCGTTGATGGGTGTATGAGATCGGCATATATGTAATTATCGGCTCGGGGTGTATCTTGTACTTTATTAAAAAGTGCCAACCGCGGACGGGCGTGCGTAGTTAATCTTCACTATTTTTTCTTTGCCATAAAATATAACAGCACAATAAATGACGTATGGCCCCCTGTAACATCATCATGTCGCTTACATGAAACGTGTAATTTGCTCTTTATCCATAAATGGATGTACGCCCGAAATGTATAGTTTCTTATTTTATCCGTAATATTTTTTTTCGGCGCTATAAAAGTTAATGAAATTGTTTAATAATTTGATTACTATTATTATTATTATTTTCCTTTTTATAATAACTTTGTTGATGTTATTCTGGTTAATAATTATGGAGGTTGTCTTAAGAATACCATTTTTGTTCCTTAATTTATTTTAGTCATTGAAATTTTTTATGACAAATAATGTCACACCCTCCTGTCTAATTGTTACAATTGTAAAAGATCTAAATTAATACTGTTATACCCCTTGTAGAAGTTCGGCAACCTTATGTACATAGTCGCAATTTTTACCCTCTTATAAATTCAGTTGTTGATATTTATTCCCAGTAAAGTTTTGCCACGATGCCAAGTATTTATCCTTTTTTTTTCTTGTTGAATTGTGTTGATCTGGGACATTTATACCGTTTTATTTCGGGCGTATAACCCACTATGGATTAATTTACGTTGTCTAAAACTGTTACACTATTATTATTGCTGATGCGATTGTGCTGTTGTGAGTGCGGTTTTATTCTTCTCGTGTCGATAATGTTTATTATATATATCTATATATAAAAGTAATAACAAAGTAGATATCGTCGTGTCAGTGCCATTTTTTCATAGTTTATAAGAAACATGTGCGTGTGTGTCTGTTACTATCTATTTAGGTACAAACGTTTAGATGCGAACGCCTAAATAACACGGAAAAGGAGGAGGAGCTCGCTATCCACGCGTCTTGCCTCCTTTACACCCTCGAACATCCCCCTCCGCTTAATTTTCGCCGTTTCTTTTATCGAAGGAACATCGCGACTTTTCGAAGTTACATACCTAATAATTTTTAATTAGATAGATTGTACTGCATATGTACATTAATTTTGAACGGTAATTTTATAGTTAGTCCGGAAGGTGGTAACGGATTTTACCCATCATACTACTGAGCAATCATTTTTGGTGGGTTAGCAAAGAACATGAAGCACATAAATTTTGAACAATATTAGACCACAGAGCTATTGATGATTGAAGATGTTAGGCTGATTATTTTGAGTTAGTTCCAACAGTAGTAGTTTGTAAAAAAAGTTAAGAGGCCTATAAGTTTAGGGGGAGTTATCGGATATGACCTTTGTACCTATTTTGACTCATGAATAACGTAAATACGTCAGTGTCTTAACATTTTCAATCATTGATATCCATTGTTTGATCTGTTATATGTTTTTCATGTTTTCTGAAAGTCTTCTAAAAATAGTGATACCAGTATAGTGCGTCATCTTATTCACTCACTTCTACTAACACTACATATTAGTTTCGATTTAGTGCCAATTTCCAATTTTATCGTTTAGATGGAATAAGAATCAGAATTGTTTTTTATTTTACATATTCTAATATAATTTATAATTTATTTATTGGTAGATGAAATGTTTAATTTTATCTGATTAATCGTTTAAGCTTCACTACTAAAATTTATTGGAAATTGGCAATTTTGAAGTCAGAATGACTGCGGTTTCCTTTCTACTAGTTCATTATTTTTCTTTCCAGTCAAAGCGTTTGCGTGCGCCGTGTATAAATGCGTTCTATAAACTCCCTGTGGTGTACACCATGGAAATACCATGCCTGTGATAATAGTAATTTCAGGATAAGTTGTGACCTTAGTAATCTTGTTGTTATTTGGTGTGTAGCGTACGGGCGTACTGCCTTTTCGGCGCCCGTGCTCCTACAGCACATCATTGTTTTTTAAACAAAAAATATATGTATATATAAGGATAAAATTTCGAAAAAAAAGATTTTTAAGGCATATTTTTATTTACAAAATTTACTGTATCTTATACACTTAAATGAATTAAATTAGTTTGTATTGGTTAAGTTTAAATGAAAACGAAACTTTATCGTCGTCAATCTCACACCTAACTATGATTAATTTTACCAGGGTGGTGTTTGAATAATAATAATTTTTTGATTTTCGAAATTGCTATTTATTAAAATCGATGCACCAATCGTTGCTAGGCTCTCAACTGCTTGAATTTCATCGTAAATTAGACGTCGTTTTCGTTTCAATAGAAGAATACGGCGTAGTTATTGCTTTCTCATTTTTTTCCAATTTTTTAAGAGGTGGTCTTAATGTACTTTTTAGATAGGAGAAGATAGTAAAACGTATGTGTGCGTCAAAGCAGTTGGGATTGAGACGGTTTTATTTTCCTGTTGGTTTCGTTTTTCGGTAAAAAAAGTCACCACAGAAAAAAATTGCTCACTTTTTAAATTCGTAACATAGGACAAAAAATTCGGTACCTCTCGTGTTCATATATGTAAAATATATCAAGAAAAACGAAAGTATTAAGCGGGGACTGCGCTTCTATTGACGGTCGGTACAGTTACAGAAAAAGAAAATGAAATTATTGCTAACATTTGAAAACGTGAGGTATGGACGATCAATCAAAATTGTAGTTTTTCCGCTTCGTTTTGTTCTTTTTTAATACGGTATTATTATATCTTAA